ACTCAGACTGTCCTGGGGCGGCCACACCTACTGTGTGCACAGCAGAGATGGCAGCAGTGTGGCCCCGCAGTCAGCGAGCCCAAACGGCTCCTCGTGCAGGAGGAAAAGCGTGAAGCTGCCTTCGTCATAAATACATTTTATTTCATTAGAAATGCATAATTACAGTGTTTGACAGCACTTCCCCTAGAAAAGGAGGTCAGCAATACCCTCAGAATGAGAACTGGCTTTGCAAACACCTGTCTCTTGACACTCAACAGAGCACACAGCAAAGGGCTCCTGCTACTCCCCTGGGATTTTTTTTTTTTTTTTTCAAATTTTCTTTTTTGTTATAAACACCATAGCAAATTAAAAAAAGCTGTTTAAACAGAAAAATATCATAGTTCTTGATTTCCTGCGCACTGCGCCTCCCCTCGTCCTCCTACACCAACAGCACGACTCAGACGAAAGGGCCTCCGGCTGGGGCGGTAGGCGCTGCTCTTTTAGTGGACAGGACGCTTGCTTTTCCCCGCGGAGGCAGCAGCTGTCAGACGCACTTCAGCAGAACACGTGCAGTCGCTGCCTGTGCTGAAGCCGTGAGAGCGGGGCGCATGGGGGCCGGGCCATGGGCGGGGCCGGCGAAGGGCTCCTGGTGTCGTGGGCACTCCTGGTGCTGTGGGCACCGCTCACTGGATCTGGATGGCCCCGTGCTCCAGCTGCATCTCTGGCTGTAGTGTGGGCTGCAGCGCCTCGGCTGTCTGCAAAAGGGAGAAAGGACGGGACTTTCTAGAAAAATACCCAGTACTGCATAGCCTGGGGTATCACAAACAGCCAGCGACTTTCAGGCAGAATCAGACACACAGTGACAGCAGCATGAAGGAGCCCTGATGGCCCCAAGGTTCACCCGACTTGGGACAGAACGCACTTGGCTCCCAGCGGAACGACGCACACAGAACCCTGCACCCAGGGCAGCTCCGGTACAGCCAGGCAACGGTCCCCTACCCATGCGGACTCAGCCACCCCGGCCTGCTCCTGCTTCTCCATCTACCGCCTCACTGGGAAGTAACCCAGAAGCAGATGACATCCTGCCCTCCCTAAGGCATTTACCTGGAGCCTCGGGTGCCATTCTGCCTTTCTATAAACCCTGCTCCAATGCTTCAACAAAGTATTTTCGGGGTAGCTACGTTCCCTGCCTCAACCATGTAAGTTCTGGTCAATGAGTTACAGATATGAAAAGGACTTGAGGTACACAGTCATAGCTCTATCTTAAAATAAGTTAAAGGAGGCTGGGCACGCTGGCTCATGCCTATAATCCCAACACTTCGGGAGGCTGAGGCGGGTGGATCACTTAAGGGCAGGAGTTCAAGACCAGCCCGGTCAATATGGTGAAACCCCATCTCTATAATAAACGCAAAAATTAGCCGGGAGTGGTTTTGCACACCTACTAGGGAGGCTGAGGCAGGAAAACCACTTGAACCCAAGAGGCAGAGGTTGCAGTGAGCTGAGATGGTGCCACCATTCTCTAGCCTGGGCGACAAAGCCAGGCTCCGTCTCAAAAAACCATAAATAAAAAATAAAGGAAAAATATGTAATGCTGGAATAAGTCACTCATTGTCCAGCTCAGCCACACGGAACATGCCCCAAGTGGAAGTCATCAGTCTAGGGCTTCTGTGCACACTCCCAGAAGCTGCGGCTGGAGGGCTGGGCTCAGCGACCACAAAGGAGGAGGCAGGAGAAGCCACGAGCCCACAGCCAAGCCCACAGCCGAGCCCACGGGAGGCAGAGGCCCGACGACTCCCACTACAGTTTGTTTTAGTTTTTAGGGACAGGGTCTTGCTCTGCTGCCCAGGCTGGAGTGCAGTGGTACAAGCACAGCTCACGACAGCCTCAATCTCATGGGCCCAAGTGACCCTCCCACCTCAGCCTCCCAAGTAGCTGGGACAACTGGTGCACACTGCCATGCCAGGCTCCCCCCCCCGCCCCCCGAGACAGAGTCTTGCTGTGGCACCCAGGCTAGAGGGCAGTAGCACGATCTCAGCTCACTGCAACCTCCACCTCCTGGGTTCAAGCAATTCTCCTGCCTCAGCCTCCCGAGCAGCTGGGATTACAGGCAACTACCACCATGCCCAGCTAATTTTTTTATTTTTAGTAGAAATGGGGTTTCACCATGTTGGCCAGGCTGGTCTCGAACTCCTGACCTCAGGTGATCCACCCACCTCAGCCTCCCAAAGTGCTGGGATTATACTGTGAGCCACCACGCCCGGCCCCAGCTAGTTTTTTCTATGTTCTGCAGAGACAGGGGTCTCACTACATTGCCCAGGCTGATCTTGAAGTCCAGGGCTCAAGCAATGCCCCTGCCTTGGCCTCCCAAAGCAGTGGGATTACAAGCATGAGCCACTGCGCCCAGATGAGGCTGTGCTTTTTCAAGACAAGTGTCAAATGACACTCGACAGAGTATTCCCCAGACGGAGGAGGCGTCTTCCGGGGTAGGATGAGGGGCCAGCACAAGGACTGTCTCCCAAGAGCCGGCCACAGCCCAGAAGGCCTAATGGGAAAGGCCTCGTGGGAAGGGGTGAACCTGAGATGGAAAGGAGGAGCCATGTCAGGGCCCTGGGGTGGGTGGCTTCAGGCCACAGGAGGCTGGGGTAGGAGGGCCACTGCCTGGGATGCAAAGCCCCTTCCTCCGGACAGCCGGAGAAGCAGCTGGGGACTCGGGTGCATAGGGACAGTGGGGCACAGGTCTGGGCTGGCTGAGAGAGACGCACTTGCCATCCAAGGACGGTGGCCAGCCCGTGTTCCAGGCAGAGGCTGGCGGAGGCACTGCCCCTGCTACAGATGGCACAGGGAACCCGTGATACCACAGGCCACCCTGCATGTCTTCCCCCACAAATGGCACCCCCTACCCTCCCAACCCACAGCTCCAGGGAACAGGCTCACGGTCCACTCTGAGGACTGGCCACCCCCACAGGCCAGCCACCTGCCTTCCCTCCTAAGGGAACCCCATCTCCTCAGAGCCAGGCCCTCACAGCCGAGCCACAGGTTTTCCTAGAATTAGCTCATGTGTGTAACTCTGCTCTGACCAACAAAAGATGCAAGGCAATTCCTGAGCACAGCTGGGAGTGGGGGCTTCATGTGGATAATGAGACTCAACCAGAAACCCGCCTCTGTCGGGTGCCGTCATGCCTGCAGAGTCGCCATGAGTCACTTCCTAGTGAGGCAGAGCCAGCCTGAGGACAAGCTGAGATGGTCAGGCAGAGAGCTGGGCCCTTGGTGACGAGCTAACAGAACCTGCAGCCGCCACGCCTCGGACAGACAAGTCCATCCAGGCTGGGGTTTTCTGCAGGAAAAGCAGCGCAGTGAACAGGTGTCTTCCTTAGCCTTTAAGATGGATCCCAATTACAGTGTTCACGTGGGGCCTGCCAGGGAGGCCACAGTGACACAGGAAGCTAGGGGTGTAAAGACCAACCGTGGGACACAGGTTTCTCCAATTCTGAAATCTGGAAAGGGACCAGAAACTTAGAATGCAGCGGGATGCCAAGGCATGGCCCCCACATCTAGATGACCAGGCACAGGGTCTCACGCCCTCCCACAGTGCTGTCTGGAATGGCACGAGGGGTCAGCATACGTCCCTCAGCACAAGCCGAGGCAGGCGGGCCTGGACTGTCTTCATGGACAGGTCAGGTTCACCCCATATGAAAGAAGCACTGCCCAACGAGTTCGCCTTTGTCCCCCGCCTGTCTTGTGTCCATGATCACCCTTCATGTGCTTCCAGCCCGTCTCCAGCAGGGTCAGTGACGGTGTGGAACTGAACAATGCAGACTACAGGGCGGGCCCATGCAGGGGCACCACACCCATGGGCAAAGGGTATAGGGTGGGCCTGTGTTGGGGTGGGGGGGGACTACACCCATGGGCACAGCAGGAAGGCTCAGCAGGAGGAGGGGCCAGGCCTTCAACAGGATACAGGTCCTTAAACATGGCCCACAGCTGTCCCATGGTGAGTAAGACCTGAGTGTCGTCTGAGCACAGATATCACATGGCTGCCACAGCTCAGGGGCTGCAGAACTGCCCAGCCTGGCCACCGCGTCGCCCTGGTGAGCGTGGGCTCTACTGAGCCCATTTCTTCAGCAAGCACCTCCTGAGAAGGACCCTCTCCTCCAGAGGGCCGAGGAGCACACCTGCCCTCAGCAGTGCCCAGGGAGCGGGAAAGGCTGCTCAGACATCTAGGATTTTCATTCTGAGCATTCAAAGTGGATGGCATCAAGACCCAGGTGGATCACCAGCTCTGGGGCCACAGAAAGGACAGGAACAGACCAGAGACAGTGGCCAGAATGTCCCAGAAGGGCTGGGAAGCAGCCATACTAGCCTGGAGGTAGAATCAGGACAAGGTTCTGGCTGGGCACATTCCCAAAGCAGGAGGCACGGAGGCTCCCGGACACAGGACTGCCTTCTGCCTCCCATATTCAAGGTAAACAGCAGCCCGTGGCGTCACAGGAGCTCTTGTCTGGGCCTCAGACACACTGGTCATTTCAGCACAGCCTCTCCCTGGGGAGCTATGGCCAGCGAGTTCTGGAGATGGTGGAGTGAGCCCGCCAGGCCATCCACAGAGCACAGCAGCCCTGGGCTTTGTTTCAGTAGATGCTGGGCCACGATGGCCTAAAGTACTGACTCGGCCCCAGGCTGAGACCTTCAACAGTGGGGCAGGGAGCTCTCAGGCTGACGGGGTCCCCATGCTCCCAGCCCACAGGACAGGGCTCTGTGGAGGGAGGACAGGGCAGAGCTTCCCTTCTGCTCCTGAATGTACTAACATTTCCACAGGAGAGTCTTAAGCATCAGCTGGAATTTGGAATGAGGCAGGATCTACTCTCTCTCTTCACGTTCATGGTGCGTGAGACGAGCCCTCATATGGGCATCCGTGTCCAATCATGCACCTCTCCTGGTCACGTGCCCTCCACACGGAAGGAGGCATGAGAAAGCCCCGCAGGCCCATCACTGCACAGTGTCCCGGCGAGTGGCCCCAGACTCACCTGGGCCCCGGCCGTGTGGTCACCCACTGGCGCCAGCTGCACATATTGAACCTGGATGTCGCTGCCCTGGAGTGGCGAGCCGTCCACACCTGCCGCTGCAGGATCCGAGGAGGCCACGGCGATCAGCTGGGCGCCCTGCAGCACCTGGAGAGACACGGGGCTCGTCAGCAGCACGGCCCACGACCCACACGGCTCCAGAGACCACAGACCCCAGCCCGCAGGCACTGTCCCCGGAGTGGCAGGGACACTGAGGACTCTCAGGGCATCCCGTCTCCCCATCACTTTCCAGTCGTGCTGGACCCAGTGAGAGAGCGCCGTCGAGTCTCTGTTGCACCTGCAAGCTCCCCCCCGAGCACCCAAAGAGTGGACAAAGGGGAAAAAACAGCAAGGCAGAGCTTCCAGAGAGCAAACGCAAATGCCATGGGGCCTCCTAGAAAAATCCTCATGGCAACCACGAAGGGCACCAGCCCTCTCACACTGCCAGTCAGGGCTAAAATCTAAGCCAGGACCATGAGCGTGAGGCTGAGACCCAAACTCTCCCCATTCCTGAGGCTGAGTGGCCTCAAGGGCTTGGGGGTGCAGAGGAGCTGTTAGTGGGCACTGAGAACCCAGGAGCAGCTTGCAGGAAAGCAAGGCCCAGCTCCAAGAAGGGCAGAAATGAGTCCTGGTGACAGAGAGTCCGGCTGACCCTCCCGACGCTGCACTGCCTCCCAGTGTGTGGGATGAGAATGGGGGACAGGTGAGGCCCCTGGGTGGGCTCTGGTGACCCCATCGCTTGTGAGCACCCAGGTCCATTTCCCACCCAATCCGCCGGGCGCTCCGACAGCCAGGCAGGCAGCCCCAGGACCGGGATGGCAGCAGGTGGGCGGTCCCATCTCTGAGGGCACTGGACATGAGCCATGGGCTCTTCACTTCAGGGGCTGCATCCCACCCTGGAGAGCCAGGAGATCCACCTGCACCTTACACACAGAACCTCATGCTGTGCACTGAGTCTCACCCAATGACCCTGGGTAGAGCTGCAGCCCTGTCGCAGTGCGCCCCACCCCATGGAGCCTGGCCGCAGCCGCTGTCCCACGGGACCCGCCCTGGACACCACACCACACATAAAGCCAGCACAGGACCCACAGACACGCTGCACAGACAGCCCGGACCAGGCCTTTCAGACTTCACCCACGAGTGCTTCTAAAAACAGTTCTGTCTCTAAGTGAAGTTCACCTGAAATGTTAGAAGACAAGCCTTTTGAAACTACAAAGCATATTCACCCTAAACTGAGGTTAGCAAAGCAAACCTGCTGCCTGCTTTGTACAGCTGTGAGCTGAGAATGGCTTCTACATGATTTTTAATGACAGCAAAAAAGGCAAAAAACTCTTTTGTGCCACATGGCAACTCTAGGAACCCCCCTCTTCAGTGCGCGCCTACAGGCCCGCAGACCCCCATGCGCCAGTTGGTCACGACCCGAGGGCCATGCCAAGCAGCTGAGACGGAGACTGGGTATGCCACCCAAGCTGAAAACCCCATCCCCCTGGCCCTTTACAGACAAGCCTGGCAACCCTGCCCGCCACTACCTGTGAGCACTCCTACCTCAGGGGACCAGCGAGCCGTCAGAATGACCCCCAGGAATGGTCGGCCTTCCACCTCAGGATTTTGTCTGACAGACAGTGTACAAGGAGCAGGGCCAGAGTGAGACAACCTGCTGGACTGTGGGGTTCCTTGACCCGAGGGCCCCTACTGCAGAGGCCCTCTGAGTCCAGGTATCAGACAGCGGCCCGGCATGGTCCCAGGCTCCATTCATTGTGCAGCCGGCCCTTGAACACCACCAGGGTTAGAGGCACTGACCCCTTGTACAGCTGGAAGGCACGGACTGCCTTTGACTCCCTGAAACTTAACTACGAACAGCCCGTTGACCAATGGCCTTACCATGCCAGTCAGTGAGCAGACATTAGTGTGCTAAGCGTGCCAAGTGTGCCATCTACCGCGCTCTTCCAGTAGAGGAAGCGAGGGAAGACGCAGTGTGCAGAAAAGCACTGGGAAGAGGAGACACGGCTGCTGTCCCCTCAGAGGAAGTGGATGGTCATCAGGACCTTCGTCCTCACCATCTGCACACCGACTGCGGCTGGGGGAAGAGGGGAACAGGAGGAGCTGGCCTTGCTGAGTCAGGGCAGCTGAGGCAGGAGAGATGGAGGAGGTGGAAAAAAAGGAGGCAGACACGCCCCGTCTCATTGTTATTAAAAAAAGTCCGTGTCTAAGTGGATCCTCAGTTCCAGCCCGCACTGTTCGAGGGTCAACTGTGGTCTCCTTAAGGCACAAGCATCAGTCTTTGGTGAGGGACAGAAAGAGCGGAGCGTTGTGAAGTGCACGCACTGACGCCAGAGCTGACAATGGGGCTGCTGGCCCTGGGGTCCGGGTGCCATTTACGGATGAGAAAGTGGGGCCTGGACAGGGATAGGGGCGGTTTAGGGGCTGGGCTTCCATCGCACAGCAGGTGGGGCAGAGTCCATGCAGGAAGCACCGGGGTCCCCAAGGCGCCCTTCTGGGCCACCACCATCCATACTGGAGCAGCGTGATTACCCCTGGTCTCCCTCCAGCCTGTGTCTTTGAGAGGGAATGGAGAGAGACGGCAGGGACTCTGCGAGGGGGGCGGCTTGGGCGTGGGTCTCTACAGGTTCTTAGAAAATGCAGCCTGTGGCTCTGAAACAGCACTCTAGGTTCCGATGAGCTGCAAAAGTCTAAGACTTCTTTAACAATGAATTTATCAGCAGGAAAAAAAGCGGCTCAATGAGGTGACTGTGTGGCCTCCATCTTTCTACTGACGCGAAGTCAAGCAGGCGGAGCTGCTGGTGCGCCGAGGAGGAGCGTGGGACACAGCTGCCCCTTCCCGTCACCTTTGCAGGCCCCGAGGTCCCACAGCCACAGCACACCGTTCAGAACACAGCCTGGCGACAACCCACTGAGGTTTCTGGACTCTGTGTCACAGGATGGGGCAAGTCCACTGGAGCACCCTCCATCTGGGTGCAGGGGCAGGGGCAGGAGAGCAAGCAAGTCCCTGTCAGCTGCAGAGACACTGGCTCAGACCTCGAGGCTGGGCACAAGGGCGCCCAGGAAGGTGGAGGCCCTGGAAAGAGAACCTTCTCGAGGAAGTAAGGGAGAGCAGACATTCCTGCCGATGTGTGAACTCAGCAGTAACTTCTCAGGGGTACCGGGAGCAGGCCAGGCAAGGTGGCAGCTGCAAGGGGCTGGGGAGAGTCGTTCCACACTAGGCTCCACTACCCGCCCAGGCAGTCGCTCTGTCCCGGGTGGATCCTGCCCCAGACCCCGGGTTGGTGCCTGCCGGAGGACGCAGCCAGCAACCACAGTGCTGGGCTCTTATGTGAGTCCTACACAAACTGTTTCCCACTCATCACGGCACAGGCACACTCCTGGTCCCAAGAAAGCATCCTCAGGGGCCGTCCCAGAGGTGCCCCAGGCTGTGAATAAAGCCAGCTGACTGGACCAGCGTTTCTTAACTCTTCCTACCAGGCCAAGGCCCGGAAAACTCCTGACTGGCAGGAAATGGTCTGTGCAGTGCAGGAACCTGACTGGTAATTCCCAAGTGCCCACCCACCTGCCCGCCTCTCCACGACAGCAAGGAGACCCTGGCACACACCCAAGGTTCCCACCAACCAGGTGACTGCCAGGAAACCCAAGCCTGGGGCGAGAAACAGAGGAGCACACAGCAGGCCCGCACCTGCTCCGTCCCCAGAGCTCTGCAGGGGCCACAGCAGGGGGCCTAGTGGGTGATACTTTCCATTTTTCTTCAGGCACCTGTCCACCCAGCTCTAAACCACGTGTGAAAACGGAAAAGCAGCTCATGGCCACATGCAAAGCAGCACCTTCCAAGCACCTCCTCACCCACCACACACGCGGCGTGTCGTGGACTGATGAGACACAGAGGTGGACAGCGTGGGGGAGGGCAGGTCTGTCAGGGACAGAGGGGGCATAGACACAGTGGATGCTGCACTATGCTCTGGAAGGCAAGGCTCAGTCAGGAGCTTTGTCGGGCCCCTCATCTCAGGGTGTCACCAGGCAGGAAGGACAGAGTGAGGACACTGACAGGTTGGGGTGGAGACTGGGGTTCATCCCAGGGTGGTGCAGGGTGACGTCAGTGCGAGGGCGGCTGCCCATTGCAGGGTGAGCACCGTGGGCCCCAGGAGGGCCAGGCACTGGGGAGTGGCTCTGAATGGGGATGGCAGCAGCTGAACCACTTAGATTAGGGAATAATGCCAAAGAGAAGAAAAGATTCTGCAATTCTGGCAAAAATACCCACAAAGTATCTCAGATCAGGTTTGGGCAGTGGCAGTACAGCAAGTGAGGTGGGGATGGCCTAGAGCCCCTCAGGACACAGCCCCTGGGTCCCATCTAGAAGGCACGCAGCAGGGCGCAGGGTCACAGCCTGGTTCCAGCTTGAGTCCCCTCCCTGAGGGAGGCCCCAGCACAGACGAGGTGTGGGTGGGAGCCGGTCAGCACGGGACGGAACACCTGGGGAGACACTGGCTGAGGGCCGAGAGGCTGAACAACGGTGACACCCAGCACCCGGCCCCGTGGCTCTGGCCCCCTGGGTCCCATGACACCGGCCACACATGCCAGCCGGCCGCTCACTGGCATCGCAGCCAAGAACACACTGACTGGCAGGTGACACAGGGCTGTGCAAGGTCAAAGGGTCAGCAGCTTTGGGGTCCCCCACACGCCTGGGCCCTAGGACCATGTCACGTGCTGTGTCCCCAATACTAAGTAATGAAAAAGAGAGTAAGCATGCATTCCTATAACTGGGTTTCCAGGCGAGTTCAAAACTCAGCAAAAAGTCTGCCTGGGACTTCCATCCACAAGTGTCTAAGCCGCTGCGGAAATGTGCCCCGGCAGTGGCTCTGACTCTGCTCGGCAGTCACCCAGCCTCGCATGCCACTGCCAGCACCGCTGCCTCCTCCGCCCTAGAAGACCCTCGAGTCTCCAAGACCTTCCTCCAAGAGCAGGAAGGAGGCCGGCACCGTGGGGAGCTGGGTTTTGAAGGCCGACGGCAAAGACACACAGGCATCTAGGCAAGGGTTGGCCTTTCTGGGACACAAAAGAAAACTGAACAAACGCTCTAGCGTTTGGAGTTTCCAAGAATCTATCAACAGAAACTTGTAGCTTCCTCCATGACTTACGGGGTAGGCTTTTCTCATTTCTGCCTCGAATCTGCAATTTTCCAGGTAATGTAGTTTTGCTTTATGTGAACAACACAGCTCTGCTGAAAATCAACAGAATTTTAGGAAAAAGGAGCAGGAGGCGCTTGTTTCTGGAAACAGAGGCCACGGCGGCAGAGACCGAGCCGAAGCCGGCTTCCTTCGAGCCCCTTCACCAGGTGGCCAGGCCCGCAGCGCCCAGCAATCCACAAGGCAGCACCAGTGCCACAGAGAGGAACGACACAAACTCCCAAGTTTCACTCAAAGCGAAATTGCTGCCCGTTGGTAACGTCAACCTCTAGGTGAGGAATATTCCCTGACTATTCACTTCCCGTTAACACATTTATCGGGCAGTCAGTTCCACGTTTGTGAACCTCATTTCACAGTCTGAAAGTGTGTACTCTGAGGGTCCCCCTGGCAGGCAGGCCTTGCATGAGGAAAGGCTCTGAGTCCTTGGTGCTCTAAGGATGTGTCAGGGAGAAGCCTCATCCACCCCGTGGCCACCTCGAGTGGTCACAGCTCACCCTGCACCTGCTACGGGAATGGGACAGCGGAGGCGGCTTGGGCAAGGTCCCCGGTGTGCAAAAGCCTCAGGCGCAGACACACACCCTCTCCCACATTCCTGTGGCCACCGAGAATCCTAAGCTGGGCAGCGGGCCCAGGAGGGATGGGAGGTGGAAGGCAAGTGTGACAGAGGGTCCTCCCAGAGGGGAGCTGCTCCGCTGGGGACACCATGGGTCTGCGATCCAGCAGGCCTCCCGGGATTGGGGTGCCCTTCCAGACCCCACTGTCTTTGTGCTCTAGATGAGCAAGCATGCAAGCTGGTCCTGCCCAGCAGCCCAGTTTTCCTGCATAAAAACAAAACCAGAACCAGCCCCTGCTCTCCTCCCTCCGAGGCTGACGAGTTCAGCCTGAGGGAACCACTGCCACTGGGTCATCAATTTTTAGAACAAAAGATGGTGAGAAATTCTTCCCTCCATTCCTGCAGGCGCATGTCACCCCAGCTGGCTGTTCTAGGCACGAAGACACCCTGTCCCAATCCCTGGGCCCTGTGAAGGTGTTATTTACATGGGCAAAGGGACCTCATAGATGTGGCTCACAGATCACCCTCACATGATTAGATGACCCTGGATGGCCAGGTGGGCCCAGTGTCATCACAGGGGTCTTTAAAGGCAGAGACTCCTCCCAGCTGCAGAGGGTGGGATGGATGCACAAAGGACTCACCTGGCCACTGCTGGCTTTGAAGACGGATGGGGCCAGGAGGCAGGGGATGCGGGTGGCGTCTAGAAGCTGGAAAAGGCAAGAAAAGGAATTTTCCCCTGTAGCCTACAGAAGGACCAACCCGGCCTTGCTTTCAGCCCACTGAGACCCAGGATGGGCTCCTGCCCTCTGGTAAAGCCAAGGGGTCTGTGGTCGTTTGTTATGGCAGCCACAGGAGCCTCCAGCCAGGTCCCTAAAGGGCTCTTGATTAAAACATCAAATTCCCAAACAGCAAAGGCCACAGAAACAGAAGACCTGGCAGTCGTTGCCTCCAAGGCGGGCTGGCAGCTGCAGCGAGGGCAATCACTCTTCTCCATTACAAAGAGTTTGCACTGTAGGAGTTTTTAAAGCCATAAAAAGATCGGAGGAGGGAAAAAAAAGAAATGTCCCCTATCACTCACATTTCACCGGTGGCCACTGGGCTCTAGCAGCCTCCCAGGGCCTCCCGAGAGCCTGAGGGCCGGAGCCTCAGGAGCTGAAGGCGGGGTCCTAGCTGTCTCCTGTCCCAGCCACAGGAGTGGCCTGGGGGCAACACCGGCAGCGCCCCCACCCGCATGCAGGCACATCTGGCACAGCCAGCTGTGGAGTCTCTGTGTCTGGCAAAAGCACCGTTGTTTTTAAGGGAGGAAGGCATGTCTAGGAGGGGTTCCCCAGGCCTCCAGTTGAGTGCCACGTGGTGCCACACAGGCGTCCAGCCTGGCAATGCCCTCTCCTCAGCAAAGCCGAGTGGAGGAACAAGAGAACCGAGGACAACCCGATTCTGGCCCAGACACCTGGCCGCGTCTTAGAAGCATCTGTCTATGCGAGGCAGGCAGGTTGTTTCCATGAGGAGCAAAATGTCAAAAGCTCATTCAAGGCCCACTCATTTCTTGAACCCTAAGTGAATGGACACATCTGTCCTCCAAACAAGAGCCACTCTCCCAGGTCCGTGATGCCACCAATGCTTTCAAGAGTGTGATGGAAGATGAAGCCACCATCCCTAACCACAGGTGACCACAGGGTGAGGGTGCAAGGGACACACAGGGCAGTGGGACTGCAGCCACAGAGACAGGTCCCGCTGTGGACGCGCAACGGCCACACATCCTCCGCCTTGCTGTGCACCCCTCCACTCTCCCCTGCTCTCCTGCACCCCTTAAGCCCCTGACACCTCCTGCCCCAGCCTTGCGCTCTGCTCCCTCTGAAGAGAGGCCCCGGCCGACCCCAGTCACCCAGCGCCGCTGCCTGCATGTGGTCGGCCCCCATGAGGACATGAGTTCCAGGGCAGCAACAGGGTCTGTGTCTTTGTTCCCACAAAAGCCCCGGCACCCCTTTCTTCAAATCTTAAGTGTACATTGTTTCGCTCATTTCTGAAAAGCTTACCAAAACAAAACCAACGTAGAAACATCTGAGAGTCATGACTTTCCAAATGCGCTCCCAGTTGAGGACATTTTCTACTGTTGTTTTCATTTACCTCTGGGGTATGCCGGCCTTCATAGTTATGGCAAAGCTACAAAGTTAGATTCTGAGGCTTGTGACGCTGTAACTCTTTCGGCGTAATGAGCTGCACGGATCATACGAAGAGTCACGTCACTGGCAATGCGGGCAGGAACACTGCTGTCAGGATGTCATGACATGCCTTCCACAGCCCAAGGACAGCAGAACCCTCTTGGAAATCAGCTCCATGCTTTCCTAAGCCTCAGTAAGAACAGCTGTGACCTGATCTCAAACCCACCTCTCAAGGGATCTTTTACAACGTAAAGTGATTACAAAATCATCACAGGAGGTTGTGCACGGAAATGACCAGCAGCCACCCCACAGAGGGGCTGAGAGTCCAGGCTGGGAGGGACTCACTTTCTCCACCGACCTGGTGGATTGTTTCATATTGTTGCCAAATGTGAATTTATTTTACAACGAAACGCCAAATTCCTGTTAACTAAGCAAAGACACAGAGCTGGGCGATGTGGAAGGACAGGAGGACCAGGAAGACAACACGATCCTCCTTCTGGGACCAGCGCCCAGGCGAGGGCAGAAAGCGTCCACACTGGGGAGGTGAGGGCTGAGGGAACAGTGCGCAGGCGAGGGCAGAAATCATCCATACCAGGGAGGTGAGGGCTGAGGGACGAGTGCGCAGGCGAGGGCAGAAATCATCCATACCAGGGAGGTGAGGGCTGAGGGACCAGCACCCCGGCGAGGGCAGAAAGCGTCCACTCTGGGGAGGTGACAGCTGAGAGGCAAGAGCCAAGGCTGTGGGCCTGGGACGCATGCCCACTGGGCATGAAAACAAGCGAAGCGGGGTCAGGAGCAGATCCTGCAAGGACAGCCGCGGCGCCCTCCTCTCTCTCCGCTACGCCGCTGCAGCCTGACGACACCTGCACGCACTGTGCAGCCTCTTAAAACACACTGGAGGCTGAGATATCACCTGCTCATTTAGACTTGATTTCAAATCGTAACGAGTGAAACTCAGGAGTCAGATCCTAAACGCAAAGCGGCAAGAATGACGTGGAGCCAGGGTCCCCCAAGAGCACTGCGTGCCCAAGACGAGTGCCCTGGGGTCTGTGCAGTGGACCCCGTGATGAAAGGAACCCCAAGTCAGATGCAGGCCATCGGGCGTAGTGCAGGCTGGGCTGAATTCCCACTTAGAGCCCAGCAACGAACGTCCCAACAGACTCAGGAATGCAGAAGCCACTCACTGGAATGGACAGTGTCCTCACTCCCAGGCCAGTGGCCAGAGACCACTCCTTCAGGCTCCAGTGATGCTGGCCTGCGGCTGAACCTGAGGCAGGCTTCCCAAAGGGTGGCACCTCGTCATCTTGACATAAGCTCAGGGACAGGGCTGCAGACACCTGCTACTTTCCCAGCTCCCTTCACGGGGCTTTCCCCTGAATATTTCTGAAACAGAGCCAATTATTTTCAGATAAAAGAAATCGGCAGGCTGGGCATAGTGGTTCAGGCCTGTAATCCCAGCACTTTGGGAGGCTGAGGCAGGCGGATCACCTGAGGTCAAGAGTTCAAGATCAGCCTGGGCAACATGGAGAAACTCTGTCTCTACTAAAAATACAAAAATTAGCCGGGTGTAGTGGTGCACGCCTACAATCCCAACTACTCGGGAGGCTGAGGCAGGAGAATCACTTGAACCTGGGAGGTGGAGGATGTGGTGGGCTAAGATTGCACCACTCCACTCCAGCCTGGGCTATAAGAGCAAATCTCTGTTAAAAAAAAAAAAAAAAAGAAAGAAAGAAAGAAAAAAGAAAAGAAAAAAAAGCAAGCAGCAGAGAGTATGAACTGGGAGCAGTCTCCTGAGCGAACCCTGGCCTAAAAGCACTGCATCTGGAGCATACACATCTGGTTTCCTCTATCTGCCGAGAATGCAGAAATTCTGTTTAATGCCCAACTGAGGCAATGCCAAATGGTGTAAAACCTAAGGTAACTGCAAAGACTTTTCAGTACTGTCTAGATACAAAATCCTGAGTCTAACCAGGAATCCACTCAGATGCAGGGCAAAACTAAACACAGCCCACTACTCCGCATGCACTGAGAGGACACGCTGAACAGCGCCACGTGTGCGGACAGAACAAGGATGAAAGCAGCAATACACAGGGCCGCCGGAAAAGCCAAGGGCTCCTGTACTGGTTTCTATCGTTTAGCTTTGAACCCGAGCTGTGAAGGTGTGAGAGCTGAGACTGTAACCAAGGTGCCTTTTTCAAATCTAGATATTAATTTCAAAAGTAGCTTCCTCACACTAGAAAAACGAGGTGATCAGAGAAAGAGGTTCAGGCCAGTGATGCCCCCAAGCCACCAAATGACCTAAAGTCTTTCTATGTTCCTAGAGCAAATGCCAAAAGGCCACATCATCACTCTTAAGCCTTTAAACCCATGGACGGGAATCCTAATACGTGTCCTTAAATTCCTTTTCTAATGCTTTCACTAACCAAGTCACCCATGAGTGGATGGTCAGAACCAGCACCAACAGCAGCAGGCCAGCACAGGCAACGGCAGAAACCCGCTCCTCCTGGGATCAGCCCTCAAGCCTGGAAAACAGGAGACAGTAAACAGACTCCCTGCAGACCTTAGGGTTTAAGTCAACCGATCAGACCTTTTCAGAAAACTGTCCTTCAGGCAAAAAAGGGTAAGTTTCAAAGCAAACAGGCTAACAGCTATCAGCCAGATTTACAGCCCAGAGCATGGCAAGACGCCTCAGGGGATCCCACGTTCCTGGCAAGTGGGACATAAAGCAGCCTCTGAGGCGCTCTGCACGGTTGAGCATGAACCTCAAGCACAGCCTTGAGGCAAAACAAAGGCTAAGACTTCACAGGAAAGAAGGTGGAGGCCTGCGGTGCTTGCCGCCCGCCCCACCCCTCCAGCTGGCGGCATTCCTGGGAGTGACCTTAGCCAGGTGTGTTGGGGTCTTCTGGCTGACTGGGGCAGGGTGGGGGACATTTAAGAAGGCAACCAAAGTCAACCACGAGGCCTCTGGCACTCCCCAAAGACCACAGACCTCCGGCTTCTGGATGGTGAGAGGGAGGGTGGGCCAGCAGGGCAAAAGAAAGAATGAGAAGAAAATAAGGGTGAATGTGAACGACAGTGCGCACGCCTCCCATCACCATGGCACTGCCCAGGCATCCCCACAGCGCGCACGCCTCCCATCACCATGGCACTGCCCAGGCATCCCCACAGCGCGCACGCCTCCCATCACCATGGCACTGCCCAGGCATCCCCACAGCGCGCATGCCTCCCATCACCATGGCACTGCTCAGGCATCCCCACAGCGCGCACGCCTCCCATCACCATGGCACTGCTCAGGCATCCCCACAGCGCGCACGCCTCCCATCACCATGGCACTGCTCAGGCATCCCCACGGCGCGCACGCCTCCCACCACCATGGCACTGCCCAGGCATCCCCATGGCACGCACGCCTCCCATCACCCCATATGGCACTGCCCAGGCATCCCCACAGTGCACACACCTCCCACAACCATGGCACTGCCCAGGCATCCCCACAGCACGCACGCCTCCCACAACCATGGCACTGCCCAGGCATCCCCACAGCGCGC